AATTTCCCTCTCGCTTTCCCTAATTATTCTTAACCTGCTCACCTCCTCCCTGAGCTCCAGCACTTCATCCTGGAGCTGCGCCACCCGGCTTAGCAGGTCATCAACCTGCTCGCACCTCACGCAGCCATCCTCAGGGTTGCTCCCAGCTACCAAGGATAAGCTGTGACATTCCTCACAGCCTGTGACCTGATCCCACTGTTCCATGTCACTGACAAAGATATTAAGCAGCACCAGCCCCAGTACTGACCCCTGAGGAACACCACTCGTCACTGGCCTCCACGTGGACATTGAACCATTGACCACAACTCTTTGAGTGCGTCCATCCAGCCAATTCCTTATCCACCGAGTGGTCCATCCATCAAATCCTTGTCTCTCCAATTTAGAGACAAAGATGTCATGCAGGACAGTGTCAAATGCTTTGGAGAAGTCCAGGTAGATGATGTCAGTTGCTCTTCCCTTATCCAACAATGCTGTAACCTCATTGTAGAAGGCCTCCAAATTAGTCAGGCAGGATTTGCCCTTAGTGAAGCCATGTTGGCTCTCACCAATCACCCCTTGTTTTCCATGTACCTTGGGATAGTTGCCAGGAGGATCTGCTCCATGATCTTGCTGAGTACAGAGGTGAGACTGACCTAATAGTTAATATATTTAAAGAATATATTTAAACTAACTGATAGTTAAAATATTTAAAGAAGTCATTGTCACTTCAGCTAAAACTTCGTCCTTTGCTCTCGCGTGTTTGACCGTGATCATAATTGTCTGCTCTTGTGAAGCAAAACCGCTGCTGAGTGTGGTCTAAGTTTGCCCATGTTCCTTCACATCGTGCTGCTCCTAGTGCTGCTAGGAGCAGTCAGTTATTCTATTTCCATTAAAAGATTTTTAAATTCTTAAAATGAATTAATGTGGTAGCTAATGAATATCTGAACAAGCTTTTGCTCTTCTCTGAAGCTCTGACTCAGGAAACAAGTGCCTACAGACAGTAACGTTCAAATCAATTGAGTTACTTAGGGTGAGCTTAGGTCATTTGATATATCTTGCTGAAATAAAGCCTAAACAGATATATTTATTGTTGTTAGTCACTTGTCAAACTCTTGGTACCATTTTCATTGTCAATAACTTTGCCATTGTTCTTTATTATAGTTTTGCAGAAAGGGCTAAAAGAAAACTTTGCTGATGCTCAAGTCTCTGTTGTAGACTGTCCTGATCTGACTCAGGAACCCTTCAACTTTCCTGCTAAAGGTAACTTAGCATTCCTGTCTTCCACTAATACTTCTCCAGTTCTTTCTACTTGATCCTAGTTGGTTTTCATCTTCTAACGATGTTGGGAGAGTTTAAATTGTTTTTTAGTTAAAGAATACACATAAGAGGAAAGCTACATTTTATTCCTGGATTTGCTTCCTAGTTGATGTATGAACAAGGACAAGTCATTACCTAGTACTTGTCATAATCTTTTTTCGTAACCTATGATTGCAACACTCATTTCAGAAGCTTTATTTAGTGTACTGAAAACATTTTTGAAATGAAATTGTTACCTTCTAGATAGAGAAATTTTTTATATCCTTGCCAATCACTATTTGAACCTGAAGAGTTGTGCTTCCATTGATTTCTAAATTCCTGCCATTCGTGTATGTCAGTGAAGTAAAACTGTCTTACTCTGGGTGGGATTCATCTTCTTTGACATTAGCTGTCTGGAAGACAGACATATCATTTGTGCTACTCATGTGAGTTCCTTCTGTCATCAATGTAGTGGAAGAAACATCTCCAGAAGGTGATTCATCACTTCTTAAAATACATGCCCAAATAGGTGGGATGAATTGTCCTGAAACTTGGGCATCCAGCTTTCCCGAAATTTTGCAAGTGGGGTCCCAGTGGGGGTATCCACTGAGCGGTGAGGGCATCTTACTGGAGAACTGACAAATGGTAGTTGCTGCCTACTGTAATATTTTTTTGTGCTTAGAGAATGTTAATTTTACAACAGGTTGCCTAGCATTGAATCCTACTGGGAATCGTTTTAGGGCTTACTGTCCTTGGACTTTGTAATGGTGCAACACTTTATCTAAGCATGCTAGGGAAATAGTGTTCTCAAGGGTTTTAGAAGTTTGAGGAACCAGTTCTTTGATGAGTTAGACTGCATGCTCATTTAAGATTATTAGGAAAAAATATTTTAGCAAGCTAACAGGCTGTATTCTTCCAGGAATCTGCGGAAAGCCTAGAATAGCAGATGTGGGAGGTGTTCCTTACCTCATACCTGTTGCACGGAAAGAAAAAGTGAGTTTTTTCTATAGCTGTGGGGTTCAATACATTTGTCAAAAGAAAAGCAATATCTTGCTGAAATACAAACAAAACTAAGGACTAACAGATACTATTTCACAAGATTCCACTTGTGAAAGAGACTTTTCAGTGTTTTATGAGATTGATTCTGACATGTGTTAAACAGAGACTATGTCAGGAAATCTTACACATTGTAGCAAAAATAGCATACAGTGGTTGATGGTTCATCTTCTGCTGCCCTCCAATACAAGACAGTTTTGGAAACATACCATCAGTGACAGGAGCCGTGGAAGGAACTACTAAACAAGGGGCTTGTCTGCATGTTCATATCTGGGTTGCATGTCTGTGATTTCAAGTCACTTCTTTGTCAAAACTGGCTGTATTTGCATTTTCAGGCCAACACTGGATTCCCATTACTGTCCTTTTCCAACAATATCATGCCTCTTTTCTGACATCTCACCCCATCTGTCTCTATATAATATTCCTTTCCATTTTTTATTTTACACATCATAATTTTCAATAAGAACAATAATTCCGTTTTCGGGTAAAATGGCAGGGAACATAAAGGCAGATGCTACTTGTCAGAAAACAGATGGACATGTACTCAGTTTGTTACTACCAAATGTTGTGTTGTTCAGAAACTGTGTTCAACCTAATTATCCGAAGTACTAATGAGGGCGTTGTGAATTAAATGCATCCAGAGGTTACAGTGAACAGAATGGCAATTCCAAATCAGATCGCCACACCAAAATCAAAGGATTGCTTCTCTTTTGCAGGTTTATGATCTAAATACAGTTGCAAAAGACATAGAGCTGCCTGGAGCTTTCATTCTTGGAGCTGGAGCTGTTTCATCTAAGATTGTTGGAGTAAATGCTGAGGTCAGTAAATAAGTGTGATGGTTCTCAATGAATTAATGGAAGTATCCTATTAGTAGAGCAGTATCATGCTGGGTATTTCCCATTTGCAACAAAACATTTAATAAACAGCTTTCATGCCAAAAGTACTTAAAGCACATTAGAAGGAATTTGGATGAGGGCCATACAATGAGGTGCATAGTACTGAGACAATAAAGATCAATTTTTAACTTGCATTTCTCCAGGAAGCATGTGATTGCTTTGAAGCATGCAAGAAACATGATTTTTGAAACTGATTGACAAAGGCCTGACCAGAGGGTTTAACGACTAGATTTAGAAATGTCTGTCAAAGTTACTGGTAAATAGCTTTGAAATGCTCCCTGCCTTTTGCCTTCTGGGATGGCTTTGTTTCACCACTTTAAAGATGCCACACACAAAATGATCAGCTGCAGGAGAGGCAGGAGACGACAAAGCCCGTGGAGGCTTTGGTTGGTCAGAGTCTTTCCAAGCATAAACCTCTGATCTCGCCATCTCCTTTGGTGCGTGTGTTGGCAGATGAGATAGTCCATCTCAGCATTCAGTTTGGGCCGCTGTAATAGTGGTTGTTACTGTACACCGAGAAAGTATTACATAGAATTCCAATACTTGCATGCAGGCCTCAGATTTCAATGGTTAGACTTTTTTTTTTCCTTTTTTTTTTTAAACACTAGCATTCATCATCACATAACATTAAATTTAACTCTCCAGAGAAAGCAAAACTGTTTCCTGGAGTTTTCAATTACATTACAATATTAGTACATTTTTGTTATCAGTACAGACTTCATCCTGAGAGGCAGAGCTGTGTGAGGTTATTTCTTGGGATCACGGTCCAAAGCTTAAATTGCATTTACATGAGTTCTGGTCATTTAATTGACTCTTGCATATTCTTACTGACTTACTTGACTTATTCTTACATGTTCTTTTTCTCAGCTTATCCCTGTTGTTCAAACTAAGAGTGAAAAAAAGCCTGCTGTAAATGGGAGCTACATTGCTCAGATAAATCCTGCAGATAAAGGGTGCCTGCTTGAGAAGTACAGCAGTAAATACACTGACTGTGAGTTTGGGCTGTTGGCCAACCTTTACGCCAGCGAGGGCCAACCCGGTAAGGTACGTACTTGGATCAAAGGTGCCTTTGGTTGCAGAGCTTTATGGTGAAGGGAAGCTCATGTTTCAATGTTCTCCTATCAGTTTTCTGTGATAATAGTAAAGTAGTAATTCCATGAAAGAAATATCCAAACATAAGGAACTGATGCTGGTGAACGAGGGGAAGAATTGGTGAAGACAGGGGCATTTGAATTTTTGAGGGATAATTATTAGTTTACTAAAATTTTTCCATCATAAATCATTCACCAAATCTAGTCCAAACTAGCAGTGATTTAACATAATAATTGTACAATGACTGACTTGTGTAAATCAGGTCTGGGCACTAGTTTTTTGTAGAGGTGCTTCCCCCAACACAGCTAGCACAAAGAGCTGTTGGAAAAAACCTGCCTTCTGCACAGAAACTGAGCAGTCTTCTCTGTTTCCAAGAGTTTGTCTAGAACGGAGTTGAAGCCTGCTGGTGGACAGAAAGGGGTTACTTAAACCATTGTCTTGTGTGTGAGTGGATGACTTGCTGCCCAGCGCTCTTCACAGACAAAGCTAGCATTGAACAGAAAGTCAGGAAAGATAGTTGGTCAGGTACTGGAAGCGGAGCAGCACTTGCAGGGAAACTCCTCGTTTTCAAAAAGCAATCGTGGGTTATAACTTTGGGAGAATTTCGGAGCAGCTTTCACAGACCTTTGCAAACTGTTGCAGCAGGAGACAGCAGTGACAAATTAACTTTCTTCTCCAGGTCATTGAAGTGAAAGCCAATGGAAGAACTGGGGAACTCAACTTTGTGTCTTGTCTGAGACAAATTTTAGAGAAACACTATGGAGAAAAGCCAGTTGGGATGGGTGGTACATTTATCATTCAGAAGGGGAAAGCAAAGATTCACATTATGGTAAGTTGTTCTGAATTCATGTAACTTTCTCCATTCTTCTGAAAACAGAAGTATAAATCAGAGTATAACATCTTAGTGCCTTGATTTTGTTTGGGATTTTTAAATGTGTGCATGAACTGTTAGGATAAGCAGCGTCTTAAGGTAAGGAGCTGACATTACAAAACTGACATTACGAAACTGGTGATGCTGTATTACTTGGCCTTAATGCCATCATCTTTTATTTTGAGATCCGTGGGCAGCAAAGAACCAGAGAACTATTGTAAAATGAATTTAAATAAAATACATGAGCTGAGATGATACTTGCAAGAAGCAATAGACTTTTTTAAAATAGCTGAGCTTCTGAAATGTACCAAGAGGAGAATCCTGACTTCAGTAGTTCTCCCACTACCTGTGCAAGGAAAGAAGTAATATTCTGATCACTTCTGTCTCTGGCAGAAACATGGTAATGGGCACTGATGAGCTGTAGGAATGTGAACAGAATTCTGGGGAGGAGAAAAGTGAAGAAAAGATGCTAGAGAAAAAGTGTCTTCCTACAAGTGTCTTCCTTTCACTTATAAAGCTTTTACTTTTGCTGCAGCCTCCAGAATTTTCCGCCTGTCCTCTGAACACCGACGAGGATGTGAATAACTGGCTGAAGTTCTTTGAAATGAAGGCTCCACTGATTTGTCAGCCAGTAATAGTTTCCAGGGATCCAGTGAGTCTCTTTCTGATTTCTAAGTGTAAACTGAGACTTGTAATGGATTTTGTCTTGGATGTGATTTTCCTTTTAAGAACAGGACTGTGTATATATTGTGTTAAACTCCTCCAGAGGTGGATTCTCATTTCTGTCACTGGTTTGAATTGAGGCTAGGTGAATCTGTCCTGAAACCTAGTGGCAGTCCATAATGGATTGAACTTAATGGTTCAGTTCCAATTGCAAGTGTGCCAAGTGTTTGCATCCCCAACACAAGGGCGTAGTTTGCGTTCACCGCTGGCCACACCAGGAGGAACGTCGGGAGCATGGAAGCTTGTTCAGCCATGTGTTCACATAGTTCACTTTCGTAAGAACTGTCTCTGCTAATGCTGTGTCGAAATGTGAAACGTGTCTCGTAATTGCTGATGCCAATTCAAGTCTGTAAAGCCTCTTGCTAGAAAGTTATCTAGCGTCTTTCACAAGCACTAAATTCAACAGCAAAGAGTTCAGGATAAAATCAATGTGGTTTGAAAAGCTATTAAGATGTTCATCACTAGGAAGACTATTCATTTAAAAGTAACTAGGAAACCATAGATAAAAATGACTATTTTATAAATAACAATGCAGTCATAATTAATACAAAAAACCATTTTTTCCAGAGTTAAATGAGACATGCTGTAGGCTTGGAGATACGCGTGACTGTTGTGTCATTACGTGGCAGCCTTTGGCCTAAGGCTAAATTGCGTGTTGTGTGCATCTTCCCAGAATCAACTGATGAGTACTTGGAAAACAGCCATCAACAGCTGCTCTGTTCAGCATCAACGCAGCTTGTGTAGAGGATGCAGCTGGGTTGTTCCCATCTGTATCCACTGCAAGCTCAACAGCTCTCAGCTAAGCCTATGGTTTTGGAAATGTTTGAGTATCACTACAAAGGCAGCAGCAGAAGAGACCTTATTGTGGCCTTTCAGTACTTAAAGGGGACCTAAAAGAAACATGGAGAGACACTTTCTACCAGGGCCTGTAGTGACAGGAGAGGGGCCAATGGTTTTAAACTGAAAGAGAGCAGATTTAGATTGGACATAAGAAAGAAATTTTTTACAATGCGGGTGGTGAGGCACTGGAACAGGTTGCCCAGAGAAGTTGTGGATGCCCCATCCCTGGAAGTGTTCAAGGCCAGGTTGGATGAGGCTTTGGGCAACCTGGTGTAGTGGAGGGTTTCCCTGCCCATGGCAGGGAGGTGCAACAAGATGATCTTTAAAGGTTTCTTCCAACACAAACCATCCCACAATTCTATGATGCTATGATATATCTCATGGTTTAGTATGTTAGTTGTTGTTTTATTCACTATTCTTCCCTTTTTAATCTAAGCTGGCTGTCAGAATTGGGGTAGAGATCGTCACTTTATTGCATGGGTCTGTGGTGCTCAGTGCAAAGGGGTTCTGATTTCCAGTAGGGGTTCCTTGGTGTGACTGCTTTATTTAATCCCAGGGGAGAGAAAGGAGGGGAAAAAAAAAAAAGAAATCTAGGGGAGATTGACACCAAAAGTTAGAGGTTGTCAGGGTTTATAAATTATTTTCCCTCTGATGTCCTGTGGTAAAGCCTCGTACAGCACCTCTTTATTAGTTTCACAAGCATCTTGCAAATTTTCACTGCTTACTGGTTGGAGTGGGCTCCGAGATGCATGGAAATACACAGTGGAAGGAGAGACTGTGCCAGGACTTCTGAGCACAGCTCACACGAAGGTTTGTTCACGGGCCTTTCTCTGGCGGCAGGGCTTTGATCTGCGCGTGGAGCACACCCACTGCTTCAGCCACCACGGGGAAGGAGGGCACTACCACCAGGACACCAGCCCCGACAGCGTGCAGTACCTGGGGTACCTCCTGCCCGCATCGACCGGCCCCCGGAGACGCCCCTCGTCGGGAGGGACTGACGCGGGGAGCCTCCGGTGAAGGCGCGGCGCCTCAATCTTTCTAAAACGCAAAAAATTTTTATAACGCTTTTAATTGTGCACGTGTATCAGAGCCGGGAATAAACAGGAGAGCAGTAAGCTGTCGACTTGACTTTGTGAAAGCGAGAAATTCGGAGCCTATGTGTAACTGGAATTCTTGACCGAAT